TAATGTTAACTTTTAACACTCTGGTTTATCGTCGTTTCAGAGCTTGGATAGGAAACGATTGCATAGCGAAGCACAATCACTATTTGGAAACCTTAACTTGACGCGGGTATGTAAGGTACTCTTTGTTGGGCCTTCTATTCTGGATTTTCGAAGACTGGCTGTTTTCATGTTATAAATAGACATAATCTAGTTAATTAGTTAGCTTCAATGATGAATACTCTCCATTGTAATTTACTCCTAGTACAAGTAAGAGTGCATGAGCGCCTTCTAAATAATACTTTGTTGCAATTAAATGTTGCCCCTATTGAAGAACCTCCGCTGCGGCTGCATTATTACTTGCCCTATCTGTGAATGTGCTATCAAATCAAAGTGGTCTCAAAAACATCAGTACACAGTTGAACGTGTGCTTAAGCATTTGAGGAGACACGAAGGGGAGGTGAGCTCTAGTCGTTAAAATATTTTCCATTTATTCAATCGTCAATCTGTAGCTGGATAAATCACAAAATGTCGCTTGTTCTGTATGCTACAACTTCTGTCCGAGGTCCAAACTACATGATCACTATCGGGATTTTCATCTTGGTAGGATTAGAATTTTTCCTATTTTCTCAATAAATCGTTGCACGCTTTCGTCTTCGATTTCAGGACTGCCTGAAAAGTATATCAATACTGAAGTGTTATGTTTCACGAATTCTGTGCAGCGCTATCAGGATTTATTCAACGAATATACACAGTAAGATACTTTTGTCCTCTAGATTTTCTCCTATACATTTTTGGAATTACAGAGTGCGCAATATGGATTTGACTGCTAACAAATGTTCTGGCATCCCTGCTGAGTCTAAATTTGTTGGGTATCCTACTAAGAAAAGTTTAGGTATGAACAAAATTTACGCTTTTATGCAATCTATCCTGATGTTCTTCTCTTCCAGAGAGATGCCGAACCATGTGGCGACAGAAATTTGATTTATTGTCTGAACCAAAGTTTTTACTTCGATTCAAAATTTCCAGCAATCTATCGAAACCATTTACATGGTGAGTTTTGTGGTAACATTGTGTTTGAAATCTTGCATTAAATCTCTCTTTCTTCTCATACGTACTCCTTTGATCCATTATGCGCACCTTGCTTTTTAAATATTGTTCTTATTGCAGGGTTTGTCCACTTTGTGTCGATAGTGTCTTTTTGAACTATTGTTCGTTTTCCAACGACATATCTCTACGACTGTTTGTACTTCGCCATCTCTCAATGAAACATAAATATCTGGATTCTTTAGCCGCACCACTTAGCCGCGAATGGTTAGTGACGTTTAAATCTTCTAATCTTACCCCCCATCTTTATTTTCTTTTAGGC